ACACACACACACACACACACACACACACACACACACACACACACACATTAATGCTGGGTCACAGATCAAATGTTTTTTCATTGACGTTCAGTGTAATTACATTGATTTGACCCCAAAAAGCTTAGTCTATCATCTTCAAATGTAAACAAATACAAAATCAAGCGTAAAAGACTCCAGGAAGAGTACAAAAAGAAACCGGGTGATTCAGAAACTGTTACCTAACTCAACAAACAGTATTGATCTTTTTTTTTCCGATCAGCACGTCAGTAGTTTAACGATGTCTCGGTTATTAACGGGGACCCAAACAGAGGTCAGTTGTGTACGTTGTCATCTGTGCCCTGAAGCCAGCATTTATTCCAGTTATTCTAATCAATAATCTAGCTGACTGATTATATTTATTGTTCCTCTAACATACGAGTTGTTTTCTAATATAAATAAGAACTCCAGATAGAATAGATCACGATAAATATGTTTACTGTAATGCTGCTTATTCTCTAAAGGGCTCAGCGAGACTTCAAACTCTTAGTGTCCACATTGAACACTTCTCACTGACAGCAAGTACAAAGTATAAATTGGTGTGGCAGGAAAGCATGTAGTTCTACTTTGCTCTATATTCAGCTTGTTTTGGTATCAAGTTTGCCAGTGAAATACATGCAGGAGGCAAAACAATGACAAATACAAAATGCTGGTGCATGACTGAAAATGCTCCGAATAACCGCCTCTGAATGTCTGTTTAACTTCTGCAAAGCTGTAACACTGGTGGATGAAGTTACTGGTGATTTGGTCTTTGTCTTTCATCCATCACAATGAGATTTTTTTGCCTGATGCATGCAGCAGAAAAGTCACAGTATGAGAGATCGGAGGAGAAAGGGGAAAGTAAATTGATCCATGTGCAGCAGTACGTCCACACACGGGGTCTTAAAAAAACATTTTTCAAAATGATTCCTGCCAAAATTACATCAATCTTCATTTACAAGGTCCTACGGTAAACCTCGATGTATAAAGTGAACCATGGAGGATGTATTAGAGCCGAGCGTTTGATTACTTGAGGCTCTCTTGAGAGGAGGACGAGGAGCGGTCGCTCTGGGGAAGAGAGGCCACGCTGCCAGAGCTCTTCAGGCAGGACTGAAGGGTCCTCTGGTACGACGGCTCCAACGAGTTGTAGAGAGCGTCGGTCTCCGCCGGGAAGTGGTTCCTCAGACCCCAGTAGGCCCTGAGAGAGGACACAGTGGAAGAAGGGAACAGAGAAAGGAAAGGAGATGAAGAGAGACAAAGGGTGAGGGGGGGGGGGATGATGGAGGAGGCAAAAGAGAGGAATCAAGGGATTCAGAAAGGAAAAGGAAGGCGGTGAGATATTTAACACTACTCGTCTTTTATGTAATTCAATTTTCAGAAATGTCTTACTTGCGAGCCTCCACTCTGGCCTCCGAGTCTGCATCTCCAAGTCCCTTCTTGATGCTCTCAACCAGAACTGCCGTGTGCCTTCAAAGGGAGAGACACAGATGAACAAAAGAAAAGGTGCGTTAAGTTTGAACAAGTAGAACAAACAGGTTTAAAACATTGTGAGAATCAACCCTCACCTCTCCAGAGAGTGGGTTTGCCATTCCTGTAGCAGAAGGTCCAGGAAATCATAACAGCGCCTGGAGATGACACATTGTTATCATTCTTAGTACTTCATAGCACTATTAAGACCTTAAAGCTGTTCATTATTTGTGACCTGCTCAATACTAAACAAGGCCCTTTTATCACTATCAGCGGCCTTTTGTTAGTCTCACCTTCTAACAGCCACAGACTTGCATGTGCAGTTGCTGGCGATCAGGGGGATGAGTCGGGGGACGTGGGTGTGCTGCAGAGAGGAGATGTGCCAAAGATGTGAAAGGGAGAATAATCCAATAATCCGATAATCAGACAACAGCAGTAACACCGACCGCAAAGAATTTATAAGTTTGTTCTGCAAAAACTCACCCGTATGATGATGCGAATGGCCAACATGCCGGAGGTGGCCATGACTTTGGCACAGTTGGGGATGAGGTTGAACAGGACGGGAACGATAGCTTCCGCTCCGTGGTCAAATTTATTCCCCAGCACTGATGACAGGTAGCTACAAAAACACACACACAACACCCACGTGTTATAAAACGCTTCCCTGTGAATCAAACTACCGAGTGTCTGTTATCTAGGGAGTAGCGAACGAGTGGAGGATTTTGGACACAGCCCAGGATTGAACAGGTTCTCGTGATTTTGTTTTTTTCCTCTCACTGCACATCTCGACCAACAGCTGGATCTGTACTCAGCACTCACGCCACAGTGATGCAGGCCTCTCGGACCACTTGTGAGCGCAGGTCTTTAGCGGACAGTTTGAAGGCTCCGTCCAGCAGCCTTAGATGCTGGTAGAAACAGTCGTAACTGGTCGCGCCCGCCACCAGCAGTGAGCGGACCTTCTTCATCTGTTACAAGAAGCAAAAACAACAACAAGCAAGACACAAACAATCATTAGCGGTGTGGAATAAAAGGTAGCTTTATTAATACAAGTGAAAAGGTGAAAACACTGACAGCGCTGGCTCTCTGGTCCCAGTCGTGTTTGTCGTCAGAGCAGATCTCACGGATCTTATTCAGGTTGTCTTCAAGATCCCTCGCCGAGTAAATCTGCAGCGAGACACGGTGAAGGAGAACAGGAGAGCAGATAAGTGAAGGACAGATAAACGTCTCAGACAGTCTGGCCTTCATAGTCTAGTTTGGTTATCAGAGGGGATGAATGTGTATTCATGCTGGTGTACCTGGACAGTGGGAACATCTGTGAAGGCTTTAATGAAGTCCTCTTCATCCACTCCCCCTGCACTCTCCTTGGATACTAGAGAATCAGAGCAGAGTGGATTAATAAACATGTCTGTGTACGTTTGTGCATTTATACGACAGCGTGTCGGCCTTCAGATTTCTCTTCTGGTTTGGTTTTGTGATTCTGGTTTAACACACGCACACACTTCCAATTACACCCACGAGCACACACCCACACATTTAGGTCAGCGGGAGCTGCCTGTGTTTCTAATGGACTTCCTGGCTTTAATGGGCATGTCAATCATATTTCTCTGGGGGGCTGGATGCTCTGTGGACCACGCCTCCTGCAAGTCCTTACTCAGGAAGCAGAGAGGAGGGGGAAAGACGAGACAAAGGAAGCAAAAAAAAGAAGAAGAAAAAGCATAGAAAATGATGGAGAAAGTGAGCAAAGAGGAGCTGAGAGGACGAGAATATTTCATTTTTATATTAAGTGACACAGACGCAGTGTTTTGATTCTTTTACAAACAGATTTGGGAGATCATAATGTAGAGGTATGATTGTTGACCGGCAGTGTGAGAACAATGTGCACTGCTGACATAAAGCAACCACCTTGTCCTTGGAGAGAAGGCATGCCTTGGTGCTTCATCCTCTCAGATATGGCTTTAGATTTATTTTCAAGCTCTAGACTTTTTTCCCCTGCCAGTTATTGGCAAAATTGAAATATCGTTTGTCTGTCGGTTGTTGCCAGTGTGTGTGGGCGTACTGTCATCTAAATGCAAATACAGACGAGCGAGCCCCTCAGCGCCGCCATCATGGAAACTAGTCCGACGTGCAGTGACAGCTCGACAAACTAAATGACAGAAATGTTTACAGCTGCAACCGTAGAAAAATATCAAAAATCCTCAGCAAAGGTGGAGTCAGGTATTTTCCTTTTTATCACATTAAACTCAACAGGATCAAGGCTTTAGACCTGTTGTTCAGTGTAAGCAAAAACAATACCCAGCATGCCCTTCACTTCAGCCTCTAACAGCAGCTCCACGATCAATAAGACTGTAATGATCCAAAGTGACTAAAGATCACACTCTTGTGTTTCCAGCCAACACAGCAACGTACCAGGACTCAGACAGACTGCTTGCTTGTAAAACACTTGTGAGTGTGTGTGTGTGCATGTATTAATGACATTGCTGACACAGATGCAACAGCAGGCAGCAGGAATTTGACTGCATGGTTGTGGGAACGTAGCTTTCTTCCGGCAGAGAGAAAGAGACGGCAAAAATCAATACATGCAAAGACAGAGCAAACAGAACCGTGCAGCCATCGACAGCAGAAAGAAGAGAAGAGGAGGATAGAAACCGTCCCTGCAGGCCTGAGTCCACCACACATATCAGGCTGATAAGAACATCAGAGTGTATCAGATTTCTGAGGAGACACAGAGAGACCGTCACTGTGGACGGCCATGTCGTCTAACAGCCCCAATAGTCCGTCTCTGTGCGGTGACCAGCAGTAATATCCTGTGAGGGAACCTTTATCCAGGAGGCTGCAGCCTCATCCTGGAGAAGTTTAGCAGGGCAGCGTTTGTTTATCTTTTTTGGGTTAAATTACTTCAGCTGAAGTGTTACACATGCATTTAGGCCAAAAGGCAGAGCCGCAAGTTGAGGGTCACTTTACTTCACACAAAAAAGAAAAACTCAAAACACGGTTTGAAACTGCAAACTGTGTGTTCATTTCAAATCATCTTGTAAGAAGATTTTAGAAAATACACGTACCAGTAACTTTAAAAATATTTCGGAATTAATTTCAGCACAATGGGATTCAAAAGTCCGTCCTGAATTAATAAGACTGTCAGACACAAACTCAGAGTGGCACCAAGCTAGTAGACCGCTCAAGTCTTAAAATATTACAACAATGGCCGATATAAATTCTGGTCCTGCTTTGTATTTTGACTTTTGTAATTCCAACATTTCCCGTCATTTCCTCATAAAAGGAGGATACTGGTATCTCCATTCTCTCACCATCTCTGTTCAGACACAGAGTCTGTATTCATTGTTTGTGTGTAAATGTCGAGGAAGTTAAATACCGAGCTTGCCCCCGGTAGCGCTGGGCCGGCGTGCAGCAGAGGACTCTGCCTGCTTCTTGGGAACTTTTGGGACCTTGAAGGCAGCCTGGGCTGAGGAAGAGCGATTCCCATCCACGCTGTCATCATCTTCAAAACTACGATCTGTGAGGAGAGGACGGAGAGAAGAGTGTTACCATCCACCCTGCAGGCAAGGACCAGTGTGGTTCAAACGTTTTGCAAAGTCTAACAATATTAAATAAAAACATATGAATTATTCAAACCCTCAGGTCCTTCTGAAATATTTCAAAGCAACTTGGATTGTATTTCCCATTTTATGTTGAGCATAGAAGCTCGTGGTTATTTGAAGACACGAGAGAAAAGTAACGACGAGAAGCAAAGAACAGAGGAGGATGTTGCCCTAGAACGCTTAGTCGGGAATCACTAAATCAATTCTAATTACAAACTTATCCGGCAGGAAAAGAAAGGCAAACACACACAGATATTTATACGATTGTTTCTTAGAGGCCAGAAACACAGACGATGATCAAGATGTCCACCCGAGCAACCAGTGACTTGCAGAACTCTCTGCAGCCCAAAAACCCTCAATCTGCATGCTAGCACAGATTGAGCTAGCTACAAAGCTAGCAGGGAAACTTGAGACACGCGCTTGCAACAACAATGCAGCATTTTGAACGTGCATCTACGAAGTAGGAGGACGAAATGTGAGGACACACACACACACACACACACTGTGGAGATGAAACTGTTGGCATAGGAATGCAATCGCGCTCCGGTCCCTCTGACAAGCAGCCGTTTATGAAATGCGCCAAAGCCACCACCCAACACCTTGAATCATACATCAAACACACACATACAGACGACACGCAAACTCAATAGACAGGTGTGTGTGTACACACAAGCTATATGTTCACAGTGATTGCAGAGGCTTATTGTCAAGCTCAGTAAATGTTAAGCAGACATGTAAAGAAGCACACATAACATAACAATATTTACCACACACACACACACACACACACACACACACACACACACACACACCCGTCACAGCACTCACAGTCACAGATCCGCTGGCAGATAAGTCGTCTCATGCTTCTGGGAGGGCGTGGTATTAAGGTCCCCCCTCTTCTCCAAGCCGTAGCCAAAGACACACACACACACCTCACACACACTTCATGGTTCGGCTAAAGCTGCACACGCACACCTCATACCACTGTCCAAAAACCCCCCACACCCATTTTCTCTCACTCTCCATCTACCATCCCTCCCTCCCTCTCTCTCTCTCTCTCCCAACATCTCTCCTCCTTCCTTCAGCAGCCTCACAGCCAATCAGACCACAGATGACATCATAGTGTTGCAGCCAGTGCGGAGGCAGGACTATGAGTGTGTGTAAAGGGTGTGAAAGGGAGACACACACGACGACACCCCAGGAATATTAATAGGGCTTCTCGGTGTCCCTGCCAGACCAACGACCCTAAACTCATTACCATTGACAACACACTCCCTCCAGCCTCTTTACACCCTCTCTCTCTCTGTCTGTCTGTCTGTCTCTCTCTCACACACACACACACACACACAAGTACAGTTATTAACAACCTATTAACACACTTTCTATGTTGCTACATTTACCTGAGACAAGGTTCATTCATTTCTCCCTCTTCACATACACAAAAGAACAAAGGATGATGGAGCAATGATCAAAGGAGGTTGTGTGGGGAGGGTGAGGCCACGCCCCTCCATCTGAGGCCTTGACCCTCCCACTCTCTCCCACAGTGACATTTGTTGTTTGTTTTGACTCTTTAGTCCACCACACTGGATTAGAATGAAATAATTACTTTGAGGTTCAAGTGTCAACTTCCAGCTTTAATTTGAGGGTGTTGCATCCACATCAGATGAGAAGTGGAGACACCACAGACCCTTTAATAAAAATAAACTACAACAATATAAATCCTTTACAGGCAAGTCCTCAGCCTAAAGACATCAGCAGACATTTGGTATGTTTCCTGGTGAACCTCTGTCAGGCCTGTATTGCAGCAGTCTTCACTTCTGGCACAGAAAGTAAAATACAGGCTGAGTTGGAATAAAGTCCGGTGACTGACTAGTCCAGCTGCATTGTCTTAAAATATGGGTCATATAGATAAAAAGGGTCACAATGCCTGGAATACAGAGCCAAAATTAATCAATAAATACTGTGTAACTATTCTACACTGCATATACAACACACACACACACACACACACACACGTGTCCTGGATCCCGGTATGTAAAATCAAATTTGAATCATGTCCGCTCCTCCAGTCAGATCCTATGAGTGATACTTTTGTTTTCATCTTGCAAAGCTGGCTTCTAAATAACTGGCATGGCTCAGCATCATGGTCAAAGTTGAAGGGTCAAGAGGACCTTACATACCGAACACATGCTGAAGATAAACTGTGATGTGAACAGGTACATCAGAGCACAAAGACACCAACAGAACTGAATGAATCCACAGTATCTGATACCAATTAAATTCCCATGAGGGCCCATTAGCAATACTCGGTCATGCATCGCGGCGTTAGCATCGATGAGCATCACTGTTTACAGGATTTGCATCTCCTCCTTTTGTCTGTAGTCAGACCCCACGGGAGTAAATGCCACTGGGTGAAGGGCAGAGCAGAGACACTGGGGAGGGAGGGAGGGAGGAGAGGGAGAGACAGAGACAGAGTTAGACAGAGAGAGAGCGAGAGAGAAAGGGAGGGGGAGACAGAGAGAGCAGACTGCACACATGCTGTTGCCATGGCGACCTGTGCAGACCAGCTTCTCAAATGAACAGAAATGTTCATTGAGCTCAGTTACACATCAACACATCAACACATACACACATATCTAATCTAGTGTGAAGAACATCTGTATTTACTGTTTATTAACTGACTTTGTGTCAGTTTATTAAATTATGATTCTGGTTCTGGATGAAATGTTCTTCCAGCACCGTTAGTGTCTCAGAGGATTACGCCATGCTGCCAAAGAATATGTGACAACATGCAAACAAGTCTACACACACACAAGAAGAAGAAGAAGAAGAAGAAGAAGAAGGAGGCATGAACACGGTGAGAGAACTCAGCTCATCGTGTACCAGGCAGCGTTGCCATGGAAACTATGGGCCGAGATATCTCTCCTCCTCCTCCTCCTCCTCCTCCTCTCTCCATTTCAAGAAGAGTCAGAAGAAGAGGAGAGGAGACGACTGGTTTAAATACACAGATCTAATAATCAATCTGTGGTCACATTAGAAGGCATTTACAAAAACAAACATGCACCCAGTATGACAATCCCTAATTTATGTGTGAAATAATATAAGATAATATAAGATAGTATAAGATATAAGATGATAATCTAGATGCAGGGAGACATGAGTGAAGTGAAACAAGTATATTGTTGTTCTGTTTCTCTGTTTGTCTCTAAAGAGAAACAGATGGAAGAAAAGAACAAGACTAACTGAACAATACAATAAAGAACAGATCAGTAAATACAAACGCATAAGATAATATGATGTTGTTACCACATGGTGGCAGCATCGGCTTTGTTCTCACCAAATTATTTCTATGGTTCAAGCTTCACAAAAACAACAACAAGTCAAAACGCAGAGGGACTCAGCATCCCACTGCACTATAGAGAGGAGTGAGAGTGTTTGTGTGTCACAAGAATAAAATAGTCCCCTCACATCTTCACCCAGTTAACTATACCGAGTCATTTATGAGATTAACTTTGTATTTTAGGGTGCTATATATATATATATATATGCATATACATATATATATATATATATATATACACATATATATACATATATATATATACATATACATATATATATATATATGCGTGTGTGTCAACAAAGCCATGAGAAGCACAGATGACACAAACAGAGGGTCAGGTAGACATTACTTCACTATACTTTAACATAGCAAATAGTTATCTGCTGCTACTTTAATGCTCTGAACCCTAAATATAAATATATGACTTACTTATGTACTCAAATAATACAAAATAAACTGACTACAGTGAAATCAAGGTAAAGCCAAGAAAGTACCACCACTTAAAATACTGCATAACAGAAACAGTTGAACTTGAATATTAATAATAATTTAGAAGATACTTCTGTTTGCCTGATACCATCGGTCTTGAACTACGAACAACACTACATGTGTTAGTTCAAGTTCACAAGTGCAAAACTAAACATGACTACTTCTGTTAGTATAAACCTTATTATTATTCTATGCAAAGCTTGCTTAACCTCAGTAACAGGAAGAAAATGAAGAGATTTCGAGCCGTTTTAAAACGTCGAGGCATCTCATCAGCTGCAGCAGAAATGATCAAACCACAGCTGAAAGAGCATAAGAGTATCTTCTGAGGAATCAGATTATCTTCTGAGGAATCAGATTTACTACACAGAGAGCCTGTTCGTGCTGATCGGCTGTAATCTGCAGGGGAAACTGGCAACGGCACACATTCCCACTAAGAACCATGTGACCGTGTGCTTCGTCCCATTCATAGGACGACACAGAGATGAGAATGACTACGACGGGGACAAATGCCGTTAGAAAGGTCACGACTGCAACAGCTCCAAAGTACACCAGAGGAGGTGTGTGTGTGTGTGTCAACAGAAACCTAAAATATGAAACCCATAGCAGAAACCTGTTGTGTCCAACTAAAGACTAAGACATGTAGGACAAAGAAGTGCTGCAGTGGAAACCTAATATAGTGAATCACACACGATCGATCGCTATAAGCGGATGATTATTTGAATTCTCAGATTACCATCTAACTGACATTTGTACATTTATGTATTGCAGAGTTACTGCGAGGCAAAGTATCACGGGAGTAACGTAGGGAACAAATGTTTTGATTGTGTATTAATAGGTTCCGATAATTAGTGCAAAAGAGGAGGAATGAATGCAGCATGAATGGAGAGGCTTTTTTTTTTTTTTTGATTATTATTATTATTATTATTAGAAATGGCACTGTGTGTTTTGCATTGATGGGATGATCAGATGGTTGACTGTCAGCCACCCAGTTGTTTCTGGGGCAGAAAATGACAGAGAAAAGGGGGAGGAAAGGGGGAGGAAAGGGGGAGGAAAGAGAGACACACTTTAAGTTGAGACCCAAGTTTTCTGAGGAGACGGACTGCTTAGTGTCCAGCCGAGCTCAGAGAAAATGAGCTTCTTAAATGAAAAAACACACACACACACACACACACACACACACACACACACACACACACACA